CAGTAGGAAAAAATCGACCAGCCCTGTATCTGACAAGTGACTGGTATCTAAAACATAGAAAGAACTCTCAAGACTCAACAGTTACACATTAAAAGCAGAACAAATAATCCAATTATAAAATGAGCAAGAGTCACCAAGGGCATTCCACCAAGAGGATCTACAGATGGCAAATTAGCACATGAAAAGATGTTCAACATCATTAGCCATTAGGAAAATGCAAATTAAAACCACAATGAGGTATCACTACCCGGTATTCTGAATGGCTAAAACAAAAAACCCCCAATCCAGCAGGAGGCAGAGAGATTGGATTTGCAGACGGGGCAGCTGGGAAAAGTGAAACAGAGAGCCCTCTGGACACCGCTTGGCAGTCTGGAAAACGACGACGAAACGTGCAGTTACTCTATGACCCAGCAATTGCACTCCTGGGCATTTATCCTGGAGAAATGAGCAGCTTTTTTCACACACAAACCTGTGCATGAATGGTATAGCAGATTTATCTATAACAGCCAAAGGGTAGGAGCAGCCCCAGATGTTCCTCAACAGGAAGGCAGCGGAGACATGCCCAGACCACGGACCACTGCTCAGCCCCAGAAATGAGGGCTCCGCCTGGTGAGTATCCAGGAGCCTATGCTCAGTGCAAAAGCCAGTCCCAGGGCTACACATGGCGTGGGTCCATTTCTACAACATTCCAGAGGTGGAAACGTGCAGAAATGGAGAAGAGATTAGGATTTCCCAGGGCTGAGGTGTGGCGTGAGGGCACATGTCCGCATGTGGGTCGGTGTACAGGTGAGTGTGCCCTGTGTGCACAGGCGTGCACAGTTGTCTGTGGGGGCGTGACTGCGTGTGTGCACACGGTGTGCGTGTGCATGCACTGTGTGTATACAGAATGGCGCAGATCTCACCCCTGTGCCACCTGTCCACCCCACTCCTGGTGCCTGGCCCAAGGTGGGTGACTTCTCCGTGTCCTGGGGCCAAGTGCTTTCTGGTAAAATCCATGTTTGAAATGGCTCTGGAAACGGGGTAGTGGACTCAACTTGGAGAGTGTTCACTTCATACAGCATCTCTGTAGAGACTGTCTTTGTCAGTCACTTGTGGAAGCCTCTTCCTGGATTTAAGGAAAAGTAAAGTAAGCTCGCATCTCCTGCATCAACTCCTGCTTCAACACCTGTATCATCACCTGCATCAACTCCTGCATCATCACCTGCTTCTCATCATCTGCATCAACACTTGTATCAGCTCCTGCATTGTCACCTGCATCAGCTCCTGCATCACCACTTGCATCGGCTCCTGTATCATCACCTGCATCAAGGCTCAGCATGTGTCTTTTAAATAGAGGGCTCTTCTGTGCACTGTATTTAGAATATACCTTGATTAACTGAAGACTGTGTTTTGCACAGCTTGTCAGAACAGAGCCATCAGCCGAGCAGAGCCCACGGTTGCCAGCTCAGGAGCCACGGGCTGGGGCTCAAGCAGCTGGTCTCCCCGCCCCCCACGTCTGCTGGGAATGAGCAGGTAGGAACAGCACCGTCCGCCACATCAGAACAGGACTGGGTCTCGAGTCTCCCTTTCATGCTTCTGAAAACCAGTGAAGACACACCTTTCACGATCAGAGGGCCGACTCATGCCAACCCAGGTAAAGAAGACCCAGCAGGTCTCCGCACAGAGGGTCCCCAGGGGTGGCCTTGGGGGTTCCTGTAGCAGCACCGTCAGCTCTGTTGTCCACGGTGAGCTCTGAGTGGGGCCGTGCCAAGCCCGCTCGATGTCCACACAGGTGGGGGGGCACAGCCCACAACACCTGACCTCACCTGCAGGGAAAGTGGGGCTGGGAAGGCCCATGGGGGGCCCTGCACTGTGGGAGGGCGTCTCCTGGCTGCTGGGGTCCAGCCGGCCCTGGGCTGGCGCTGACGAGACAGCTGGCAACGGCATCTGGGGGGACTGCAGCTCGGCCAGCTATAAGCGGAGCAGGAGGGACAGGGCCAGGGTCTTCAAGGAAAGCTGGGGAGTCCTGTTTAAAATCCGAGTGAAACACGCAGGGTCAGAGCGAGCTCTGCAAGCTTTCGTCAGAGGTCAGGCCAGCACCAGCACTGAAGCGTTGGTGTGCGGGGACCCGCAGCTCACTCCTGACACTGGCCTGACGCGGGATGGGCTTCACCAGGGGTGGGGGCCTTCCCGGGGAAGCAGGGGGTGGGCCTGGCCTGGCTCATCAGCGGTACTGGGGGAACCTGCCCTGCAGAGTGGGTCCCGGAGAAGCGTCCACACTGCTCCCGCACAGACAGAGGGCAGGGCAGGCCCCTGGGGCTGGGGGCGGGCGGTCACTCCTCACAAGGACGGAAGCTGGCCCATGTGAGCTTGTCCCCACCACTGTCCACTAACCCTCACATCCTATCCAGCCTAGGTGGGCACTGGGCAGGGCCAGGGGTGAAGAGAACCCGGATGAGTGCAGGGGCCATCCATCAGCATTTTGACAGACACAATCCTTGATTTCTTGTCCTTGTGATGAAGCTGGAGGCCTGGTGGTCGGCTACTCGGGTTTCATCAACGCTGACGGACAAGTCACATCATTGCGCTGAGCACGGCTCAGCTAGGAGCTGGGCTGGGGCTTCTGGAAATGTGTTCCAAGTAATGAGCTGTCATGGTTGTTCACATTTGTTTTATTCTTTCAATAGCAGAGATGTTACCCTGGGTTAATTTCCTGCAGAGACAGGCCGACAAGGCTGGGATGGTGGGAGAAGCCCTGCAAGTCACGGAGTCAGATGCCTCCCTGCAGAGCTGGCCGCAGGCGGGCGAGGGGGTGCCAGCTCCTCGGGCACAGGCTGGAGCTCGGCCTCTCCCAGGCCCCGGGGGTTTCTTTCCATCCCCGGGAAAAATCAGGAATTCTGACAGCACTTCTGCACACGCACTCCTAAAGATGGCTCATTATACAGAAAGTGAACACCTAATTTAACATAACCTAGCATGGCCACCAGCATGGCCAGAGCGTATGGACCCAGCCTCAGGCCAAAAGTGCAAAATCACTGCCACCCCCTCCTCCGGCACTGTCACTGTGTGGTGAGGGGGGCTGCCAAGTAAAGAGGAGCCAGCCCCACCCCAGCCTGATCCGTCCACACAGTCTGGACACAGCGTTCCTCCAGTGGTGTTCTGCCCCGGCCTGGAGGCCCCCTCCTGACACAAGCTCACATCTGGCCAGTTTAGGGATCGGTCCCCACAGGTCGCCCGTTGGCTGTGTGAGACCCCTCTGGGGACTGGAGGCTCAGCCGCCACGGGAGCTGCCGGCAGACACCAGGTACTGCTGGCTTGGCCTGGCACGTCTGGATGGGCCCACACACTCCTCCCTGGTCTCCCGGGACCGTACCCTTCTGCCTCGGGCCTTGCACCAGGCAGATGGACACGGTGCCCACAGGGCATGGGTCCAAGGACACAGTCAGAGAGCATATTTCTGTGGGGGTCTGTGTTCTTCGTTCTCCCGAGGAGATACACACAGATAAGCTCAACCAGCTATGGAAGAAGCACAGTGTATAATTCCATTCTCCAGAGCTGTTATTAATTAAGACTTCTAGGAGCCACGTCCAGCTGGAAGCAGCCGTGGCCGGACCTGCAGCCTCGGTTCCACACGGCTTCCACTCCAACGGCCCCTGGGGAATTTCTGCTGCAAAGATGACAATCTTCCCCCAAGACGTGCCAGTTTATTTTTATACCCAAAGTGCTCTGAAGGAGGACATTTTATTGTTTTGAAGATCTCACCTAATTGTGTTCATCTGAGTGATAACGTTCCTTAAGGTTTTAATTTAAAAAGCCATGCAACTCATTTATTTTATAAATACAAAACCACTCATGCCCCAAATGTATTTAAATGAAAAAGAATCAGCTTCCCTGATTGGCCTCATAATTCAGCACAGCTTAGAAAGTTTCAAATGCTGTGAATTTTCACATCAGAAGGACAGTTAATCAACAGATAACACAGGCTGTTTGATGTTGAGCTCTCCAGAAGCTCATTTTAATACGAGGCAGCACATGACTCAACTTGTGTCGGCAGGTTTATAAGTTGTGTGCTTCGAGTCAACACCTTAGCGCATGCAGTCGCTCTCCATTACAAGAGAGATTCCCTCAAAAATTAAACCTAGAATTACCACACGGCCCAGCAATGCCACTCCTGAGCACACATTCAGAGAAGCGAAGAGAGGAGTTCAGACAAAACTGTCCCTCTTGATCCACAGGGGCCAAGAGTCAGGAAGAGCACTGATGCTCGTTTATGGATGAGAACGAACAGGCGAGACGTGGTCCATCCACCCCGGGATGCAGCTCAGCCGTGAGCGCAGTGAAGCCCTGAGCCTCCTACGACAGCGACGACGCTGGAAACACTGTGGCCCTGGAAGAGACCAACCAGGGCGATGCGCGGTGTGACTCCTGGCTGTACAGTGTCCAGAAGACGCCAACACGGAGACAAAGCAGATTTCTGTTGTCCGCTGGCGGGGGTAGGCGGGGGTGAGGAGTTGCCTTTAACCGGGGCCACCTCCGGGGATCAGAGGATCCAGGAGGCAGAGCGCTGGCGGCCGCACACAGTGAACGTGCAGTATTGACCGGAACTGCCCCCCCAGAACCTCACAGAAAGGGGTGCACGCAGTGAACACGCACTAATGCCCGGAATGCCCCCCAGAACCTGCCGGCAGGGGGGAGGAGAGCCGGAACAGAAACCCCGTCAGAGGGAAGGGAAGTGTCTTCCTGGCACCCCCACTCCGACCCAGAGGGAGGCTTGCCCCCCCAGCAGGCCTCCAAAAGGCCAGGAAAGCAGGTGTGCATGAGCCCTGGGACACCCCCGCCCACTCCTCCCACCAGGACTGGGGGCAAGCCCTCTCCAGGGCGGCCTGTTGAGGGGGTGGGGAAGTGGGGAGGGGGAGGATGAGGAGCACGAGGCTGCTTCCCTCCGCCCACGGCGCTGTCTGGGCCCTTCTGCGCCACGAGGGACGTCACAGACAGCTTCCTGTCTCATCCGCACAAAGGAGGTGGCAGTCTTCCTCTCAAGGGTTGCCTGTACTCAGCGCGTCACACTGAAGCTGAGACAGGAGAACTAGGAACGCTCCCATCCTTTTAGCTGTGAGTACCCAAATCCGCTATTTGAGAAGCCCAGGTATTTTACTGCAGAGGTTACATTAAGGATTGAAAGTTAACACGGCGCCTGGATTCTACGGAAGGAGATCTAGATGCCATAGCCTTTGTTAGCGAGCATGCCGCCCGGGGGAGGAAGCAGGCGGCCCCGCCAGGCCGGGCGCACTTCTCGGCCTTGTTCCCCGAGGGACGCGCCGACCCGGTAATGACGCTGGGGCTCTTCCGCTCGAAGCCCCCGAGGCTCAGCCCTGACTTGGACAGGCAGGAGCGCCAAGGTCTGGGGCTCAGGCAGCCCCTCGCCCAGAGCCCGGCGAGGCCCCCAGGGGAGACCCTTCGCCTCCGCGGTCCTCGAGAGGGGGTGCTGGGCTGCAGGGGGACCTGGCAGGAGCACAGAGGGGTCGGAGCAGGGGCCGTGGACCGACGGAGTCCCCGCAGCCCCGGCGGAGCCCCTCCCTTCGGCTCGGGCCGCGGCACCGTGGGGGCTGAACGCCCGGGGGAGGGGCCCAGAGCCCAAGGCCGCGGGGGCTCTCGGCTCAGTGACCAAACGGGGCGAATCGAGACACCAGCCACACAGGCCCGAGTCCTCTGGCTTTAGGCCCTAACGACGGTCTCCTTGGGTTGTTCAGGCGGCTGGTTCCGCAAGCTGGGCTCCACGACGGCCCTGGTGAGGATGCGTGAACTTGGTGAGTGAGTGAGGACACGGGGCCTGTGAGCCCAGAGGGGCGGTAGTTGAGAGGGCGGAGCCTGGGAAACCCCGCGGAAGGCGGAGCAGTTGGCCGGGCGCAGGGATCCCAGGGACCCGAGCCCTGCCGGGGACGCGCCCCCACCCAGCTGTCTCGGGCCCTGCGTACCCAGCCCCTGGGAGGCCTCGGGCAGCCCCCAACGCGCCCCTGGCTCTCCTGGCCCCCTCCGAGCTCCCCACCCTGTTCCACCCTGTTCCTCCTGGCGCCCCTGGGGCTGGCGGGGCCCTCCCCAGCGCTTTGTCCAGAGACGCAGCCGACTGTGAACAGACCCTTGGAGCTCCATGTGGACCCGTGAGAAGCCTGTTTTCTGACTGTCAGCTCCCGCCAGAGCTGAAGACGCACCTGGTCTTTGCAGCGCCGGCCGGCCGGCCCCTCAGAACGTGAAGCTGGTGTGGGTTTCCCGCACCCAGATGCGTCTCCTGGAGCCGGGCCCTTCCAGCCTCACGCGTGATCTTTGGAGCATCAGAGGGGCGGGCTGTAAAAGTGCCCCAGCTCCACGTCTGAGGGGGCGGCTGAGACCCCGGGCACTCGGCCCTCCACACTTGAGCACTAGCGCCAGATCCAGGTCCTCTGGAGTCACCAGGCTCCCCCGCAGGAGCTGCGCTTTCCCCAGAGTCCAGGAACGTCCAGGCCTGGGCCGGGAGCTGAGAGCAAGGGACCCAGGGGGCGGGGCGATCCCGGATCCGGAGGAGCTGCTGGGCTGCAGCGCCCGCCAGGGCCAGGTGTCTGCCTGCAACCCCGTCTCCACTGGGGCTGTTCCCCGGGGGCCTGTGCTGTCCACTCTCTGCTCTGCAAGCTCAAGCCCCGTCACTGCCCAGCAGACGAGGAAGGTTCCTGAGAGCCTCCACCACCAGACTGCAGCAGCCTCGTCTGCAGACCAGCTTCTCTGAGCAGTCCGGTCGGTGTATCACCACTGAAGCAGTGAAGGACCCCCTGGACAGCCGGGTGCCCATAGGGCCCGGGAGGTCATCTGCCCGGGAATCCCAGCCGTACCTCGGGAGTCTGGGCATGAGCCAGTGGGAGGGCCCATAGCCACCAAGCAGAGCCCCGACTTCCTGGGGGCCCACCCCCCACCTCCACTTGGAGCTGCAGCCAAACCCAGCCCAGCCCTGCCAGGGGCCCAGCGCCCAGGCAGTGGTCCTCCCGTCAACAGGACGTGCGTCTGGCCCCAGAACTGGCCCAGCGTCCCTCACTAGAGACATGCAGCTCTCCTGTGGACCCCCGAGAGCCACACGGACGGCCAGCCTGCGTCCGCGAGGGCGGATTCTGAACTGGGAAGAAATCCCTTCCTTTGATGAGGACACGGCCCCCCTCCGCCCTCCACAGCAGGGAGGCTCCCAATGAGGAGAGAACCCCCCACCGCCACCCCCGCAGCGGTCACAGCCACACCTGGGGACCTTCTCTGAGTCGCCCTGCGCTGTGGCCGCCAGGGGCCAGGAACCCTCCACAGGCTGCTTGGACTAAGGAAATGCCGCCGAGGGCTGGGATCACTGCAGGGCGTGTTCTGGGCTATTTTAAACTGAATGGTGGGTACTTTCTATAGAAGGAACAGGCGTTGACTCTTCTCTTGCTCCGTGGTTTCTGCCACTAATGGTGAAATCTGTCTTCAAAAATCTAAGAAAAAAATCTAATAAAACTCAGTAATAAAGCTTTGGTAGATTGTATATTTATAGCTTTCTGGGTTGGATCTCTTCAGAAGCTGGCGGGTTGGGTTTGTTACCATCTACACAATAGCCTTTACCGGGCGGCTGTCACAGAAGGGGCCAGGCTCTCACACTGTGGGCTGGGCCCACCAAGTGCTCCTGGGACCTGCTGTCTGTGGGGGGCTCACTTTAACCACACGCCATGACTCAGACACTCCTTCAGCCCTGAGGGCACTCCAGCACCTGGATCCAACCTCAAGGGCTTGGAGCGGTCTTGCAGGCCCGGGGGAGGGGTTGTGCAGGCCCGGGGAGGGGTCTTGCAGGCCTTGGGGTCTGTGTGCACTTGTGCTGAGCGGGGCCGGCCAATGCTGGAGTGACTTCTTTGGGAGGCTGGGCTGATCCCTGAGAGTCTCCCGCTGCCTGCCCTCCCTGGGGTCCCCTGCTGGCAGGACAGGCGATGGGAGGCAGGCCCAGAATCAGCTCACAGCCATACTCACCCCCAGTGAACACGCAGACATTTGAGGGAAGGAGGCAGTCAGCCTGGAGTCCTCCGGGTCCTGCAGGGCAGCTCAGGATAGGGGCACGCTCACCTATGGGCATGGGGGTCCAGGTGGTACTAGGGGGTGGGCGGTTCTGCTCTTGGGGTCTGGGAGGCCTGCCCTCCCAGTAGGACTCCCCTGGCCCAGGGTCCTCGGCGGGGGCTCCCGCAGGCTCACAGGATGCCCAGGGCCTGTTCCTCAGCGGTTGCATCTCAGCGCTCTTCCTTCTGGTTCTCTGAGGCCCCGACGCCCCTGCCATACCCCCGGCTCCCTGCCAGGCACTAGGAGCTAGCTGAGCCCACACACCCTTGGCCAGAGACTAGCAATGGACCGCTATTTCCAGAAATCAAAGATAGTCCCACCATCCAACAGGAGTGAGGGCCCCCCGAAACCCCCTGGAGTTGCTCCTGACAGGGGTGACGGGCACCATCGGAAAGAAAGGCCTACACCCCCAAACCCAGTCCTGCAACAGCTTCTCAGAGTCCTGCAAGAAGGACTGGACAGTCCGGAGACGATCATGCTGGGCCCGGCTGGGCAAGGGCGGGGGACAGTCTGATCCCAAAGGACGACAGTGAGGCTCCCGCGGCGTTTCGCCCGTCAGAGCACCTGGGCCTCTCAGGCGGAGTGAATCAGCTCCCCGGCGGCAGGCAGCGGGGAGGACCTGACCTGGGGCTGCTCCGGGGCTGCTCAGGGAGCCCGCCCCACGCCTCCAGGTTTCATCTCCTCACTGAAGTGCTGGGGCCTCAGGCGTCAACGTCACGACGTCAGGACGACAAGACGAGGGAGGAGACCTTCCCAGGAGACGTCTGTGGAACCAGCTTCATCTTCTTGTCGCTGCCGCGCAGGGAGGACCAGATGCTTGGAGACCGAGCCTGGCTCCCCGAGGTGTGGGAAGCCTTCCACAGAGGAACCCTGAAGCGGGCAAGGGCTGATTTAAAGTGACTTTTGATTTGTCACAAAGCCTTTTCGGATTCTGCTTTGGAAGGCTGGGCCCCAGGGGACCACAGCTGCCAAGACTTGGATTCACACCATCTGATCAAGGCACCGGGATCCACAGCAGTGCTTGTCCCTCATCCTGCCTCTGCCTGGTCCACCCCACGTCCACCCGGATCCTGGTCTACACTGCCTGGTCCACCCCACGTCCACCCGGATCCTGGTCTACACTGCCTCATCCACCCCATGTCCACCTGGATCCTGGTCTGCGCTTCCTCATCCACCCCAGGTCCACCCAGATCCTGGTCTGTGCTTCCTCATCCACTCCAGGTCCACCCGGATCCTGGTCTACACTGCCTGGTCCACCCCACGTCCACCTGGATCCTGGTCTACTCTGCCTCATCCACCCCACGTCCACCCGGATCCTGGTCTACACTGCCTGGTCCACCCCATGTCCACCCGGATCCTGGTCTACACTGCCTGGTCCACCCCATGTCCACCTGGATCCTGGTCTACACTGCCTCATCCAACCCATGTCCACCTGGATCCTGATCTGTACTTCCTCATCCACCCCAGGTCCACCCAGATCCTGGTCTGTGCTTCCTCATCCACCCCAGGTCCACCCGGATCCTGGTCTACACTGCCTGGTCCACCCCAGGTCCACCCGGATCCTGGTCTGTGCTGCTCTCAGTTGGATGGGGAGGAGGTGTCTGGGGAGCCCTGTCTCCAGCCCCACGTGGGGCAGGTGTGGGAAGTGGGGTGGGAAGTTGGAGGTTGTTCTATACAATTGGGGCTGAATTGTGCCCAAACTGCTTGGAACACGGGGAGAGACTCTGAACCTGTGGGCCCGGGACATGGGGCAACTTCGGCTGATGCTGACTTCTCTGGGTTCTTTACTTCAGGGGTTCTGCCTGAGTCATGAGTCACCCGGCTCCCTCTGCAGGAGATGGTACAGACCACCCGTCACCATGAGAGGCACCAGCTGGCACCTCAGCTCCAGGCCAGGTGCACACGTGCCTGGACCCCACATGGCGCACAGGCCAGGGGTCTGAAGCCGCTGCGCTGGGCACCTTCCTGTTTCCTCTGACATCGCTAGCACCGGCCACCCAACCTGCCCTCAGCCTTGGGGAGCGCCTGCTGCTCTCAGACCCCGTACCTCTGCCCCGGGCTGCCCCTGTGCCCCCTCCCATTCCCACCACCAGACGCTGGGGGGCTTGAGTCCCTTTGGAGGAATTTAGAGGGTGAGGCTATGTGTGTGGTGTGTGAGTGTGATGTGTGTTGTGTGAGTGTGTAGGGCATGGGTGTGATGTATGAGTAAGGTATGGGATGTGTATGAGTGTGTAAAGTGTGAGTGTGGTGTGAGTGTGAACTGTGTGGTGTGTGTGAAATGTATGCTGTGTGAGTGTGAAGTGTGTGTGAGTGTGTAGGGCATGGGTGTGATGTATGAGTGAGGTGTGGGCATGCCAGGTGTGGGTGTGTTGTGTGTAAATGTGAGCATGGTGTGTGAGTGTGAAGTGTGGTGTGTGAGTGTGAAAGGTACAGGTGTGTACAGTGTGACATGCAGCGAGTGTGTAAGGTATGGGTGTGTACAGTGTGAGTGTTGTCTGTGTGTAAGGTGTGAGTGTGGTGTGTGAATGTAAAGTGAGGTGTGTGTGTAAGAGTTGGGTGTGTACATGGTGACTGTGGTGTGTGAATGTTTATGGTGTGAGTGCGTAATGTGTGAATGTGGGGTGTGAATGTGCAGTGTGGTGTGTGAGTGTGTAAGATGTGAATGTGTAAGGTGTGAGTATGTAAGGTGTGAGCATGGTGTTTAAGTGAAGCATGGTGTGTGAGTGTGTAAGGTTTGGGAGTGTGAGATGTGTGTGGTGTGTGAATGTGTAAGGTGTGAGTGTGGTGTATGAATGTGAAGTGAGGTGTGTGAGTGTGTAAGGTATGGGTGTGTATGGTGTGAGTGGCGTGTAAGGCATGAGTGTATACGGTGTATGTAAGCTGTGAGTGTGGTGTGAGTGTGAAGCATGGTGTGAGTGTGTAAGATGTGAGTGTGATGCGTGAATTGTGAAGTGTGTGTGAGGTGTGGGCATGTAAGGTTGAGTGTGTAAGGTTTGGGTGTGTGAGGTGTGACTAGTGTGTGTAAGGTTGAGTGTGCAAGGTTTGGGTGTGTGGGGTGTGTTGTGTGAGTGTGTAAGGCATGAGTGTGTAAGATTTGGGTGTGTGAGTGTAGTGTGAGTGTGTAAGGTTGAGTGTGTAAGGTGTGGGTGTGTATGGTGTGATTATGGTGTGTGTAAGTTGTGACTGGTGTGTGTGTGTAAGGTGTATGTAAGGTTTGGGTGTGTGAGGTGTGAGTGTAGTGAGTGTGTAAGTCTGAGTGTGTGGTGTTGAGTGTGTAAGCTGTGAGTGTGGCATGTGAGCGTGAAGTGAGGTGTGTGTGTAACGTGTGAGCATGGGCACGTGCACAGACAGAAGCTCCCAGCCCTGTGGCCCCAGCCCTGTGAGCCTCCCTGTTCTCGGGGTCCCTGTGGAGCCCCCCAAGGTGCCGGCGCTGCTTCCTCACTGTCTCGGCCCGGCCCCGGTGACCAGACGCAGGGATGGCAGAGCGAGCAAGCCCCGACCTCCAGGGAAGGAGAGGAAGGCGAAGCCCGGGTCTAGCCCGGAGCTCAGTCCCGGCCCCTCCAGTAGACCAAACCGACCCTGTGATGGGGCGCTGGGCCCCCGCTGGTCCCCATTCCTGCCCGCTTGGCGGGAACTGTGCCCTTTGAGCCCGAAGTGCCTGTGGGACGAGTCACAGAGGCCACAGGGGCTCTGCAGAGGCTCCCTGGCCAGCGGGCGTCGTGGCGGCCTCTCCATCAGAACCTTTTACTACGACCTCCTGAGAAGGTGTGTTTGACCAGCCGGCCCCGGGCCTGGGCGGAGAGGCAGGGCTCCTGCAGCACTGCCCCCCACGGCGGCCCCGGGGCCTGCCGGGCAGCGTGGGAGCTACCAGCCGGGACCCTCACTCGCGGGCGGGACCCTCACAACCGGGACCCTCGCTCACGGCCGGGACCCTCGCTCACGGCCACGTGGTCCCGCGTGCCACTGCCCCTGCCCATGGGCCCTCGGGTGGGGCCGTGTTCCGAGGCCAAGGACTGGCCCTTGCAGCCCTGCCCCCGCGGCATCCTGGCCCGTGCCGCCCACCCTTCCTGCTCAGCCAGTGCCCACCTCGTGGCCCCCGAGCAAGGGCCCCTCGCCCAGCCCTGCTCGGCAGGCTCAGCCCCTGGGGGTCTTTCTGAAGATGACTCCCTCCTGGAGCAGGTGACACCCTGTCCCATGGCTGGGGCAGAGGCTCAGAGAAGAACCTGTGTGATCTCCCACACTTCCTCCTCCCAGTCACCGCCTCTTCACAGGACTCCGGGCGCTGCCAAGCTCCCCTGAGTCCGGGAAGGGGGCCTGATCCCGCACAGCTCCCGGTCCCCACGCAGCTGACGTCCGGTTTGCAGCGGCTGGTTTTCTGTCCGAGGAGGTGTCCAAAAGCAACGCCCCTCACAGACACTGCAGGAC